AAACCGCCATTTGGCAGTCAAAAATGTTCATTGGACACATGCACTCAAATTATTAGATATTTTGTAGAGATTTTATTAATGTGTATACATTTTGTTCAATTCTTTGGGTCCGTATCAAGTTTTTTAATTTAAAATTCAAGTGTATGTTCAAACAAATGTCCTCGACATTTTCGACAGTATAGAATAACCGATTTGTATGATTGAAAAACATTGGGTTCGTACTCGATCGCGAGGCGTTTTTCAAAGGCAATTTTGCCATTTCGGAGGTATGGAGCGCGAAGGATGTAAAATGGTTATGCAGGTTTTGAGAGACGGATCATCCGATTAAATTAATCCAAAAAACATTTTGCTTGAGTATTTGCCAGATTACCTGTCAACCTATTTACCATCCACAAATTTACTTGTCCACCAATTTACCAGTCCCACAACATACCAGTCAAGGGGGCGTCCATTAATCACGTGATCGATTTTTTAAGAATTTTTGGATTCCCCCCCCCTCTTGGTGATTCGTGGTGAGATTCAAAATGACGCCCCATTTTTAGTTACGAGAATAGTTCAAAAAAAAAATTAAGAATTTTCAAAAAAATTCAAAGTTTAATAAATTTAAAAAAACTATATTTTAAAATATTCAAAAAATATCAAAATTAAAAAAAACGATTTTGTACAAAATTACGAGAATATTTCGAATTTAAAAAAAAAAAAATCCAAAAAATTTCAAACTCTAAAAAATTTAAAATTGTTTAAAAAATTTGTAAATTATCAAAAAAATTAAACTAAAAGAACAAATTTCTTATAAAAATACACATAAGTTGTTTTTACAATACGCTCGTCGCCTAATTTAAAAGTACTAAGTTTACGGTAGGTATTTATAATAAATAATCTATTTGAAATTATCCAAATCAAAAATTTCCAAATTCTCAAAAATTAAAAAAAAAAATCCAAAAAATTTCAAACTTCTAAAAAATTTAATTTTTTTTTAAAAATTTGTAAATTACCAAAAAAATTAAACTAAAAGAACAAATTTCTTATAAAAATACACATAGGT